AAAGTAGGTGATTTGTTGAATGTAAAAATGCTCTGCTCTGTAAACTTTCACTAAATTCACAATGAAAAGTTTACAAAACAAAACATGAAAATTAGTAGCTGTAGTAGTTGTGTGCTATCAAGTTGGTTCCGACTTACAGCAACCCTGTATAGGGTTTCCAAGGAGCAGCTGGTGAGCTTGAACCACTGCTGACCTTGAGGTTCAAACTGACTGCAGTCCAGCTCATTAATCCACAGTGCCGTACCAGCACTCCATGAGGGTGCAATAATTTTGATATCATTTTCAATAAGGCAAAACTGTTAGTCTGTAGAACTTAAGCACGTAACATAAAAGCAAAGCATATGAAAATAGATAGTAAATATAAAATTTTTACCAGTACATAACACCCAAGTTTCAGATGTTAGCACAAAAAGCAATAAAGATATAAACAAAGTCTAATGACCTTGGGTTCTCTGCTTCTAGTTCAAATCCAGTGATTAAGTTCCTTTCATCCGTGACAACCAAAGTTTGGCTATTCTAGTGGGGTTCCATAGTAATCCTATTAATGTCTTCACCAATATGTAATATTTTGGGGTGAAACCAGGTAGGCCTGGAGAGCAAGTCTCTCTCACCTATGAAAAATGCTATGATACATTGCAAAGACAATTCTAAAATCCATGTAGCTTAAGGTATGAGCCCTGGTCATCAAAAACAGAAGAAGAAAAAAATTCTGTTAAAAATACATGATTAGGAAGAGGGGGAAAGGCAGCAATAAAGAAATGGGCTGAGTTCAACTATGCTCCACAGACTCCCGTTAACCTGGAGATGAGAGAGAGAAGAGGAAGGGTTGGTTGGTCCAAAGTGTGGTGAGACCTGGGGACACATGAGCCTATGGACAAAGACATAGCCACAGAGGACCATAGCTGCGAGTGAAGCGTCCAGTGGATATGAAGTGAGGGGAGATGCACAAGGTTGCAGATAGTACCCATTTGACCTAGCCTCAATGGCTTGGTAATCAAAACATGACTAGAAGAAGATTTAAAAAAAAAAATTTTTTTTGATAAAGGAAATGAGGGTAAGTTGCTACAATTTAATGAACTTGACCTAAACTCATGGAGGTAGTGACTCTAAATACCAACAGAGAGGGAAAGAGTCTTCACATCAAGTATCAGTGCTATTCCCCTCTGTACACAGTGTAGATAAGGATGGGCAACTTAGACACTGGTTACCTAAAATGAGGAGGTGATAAAGGCAAGGAATGACTGTATTACAAGGTTTCAAAGGGGAGTTTTAGTTTAATAGTGTGTGGGGAAAAAAGAGTCCCCAGTGTATAGTTTTCATCTTGTCTAGATGGATCTGGTTAAAAGAGATGGGGATAAAATTCTTATGAATCAATTGTGAGTAATTGTTATCATGACTAACTGTGACTGTCACAATTGTAAAGGTAGACATTTTGTAACAAAAATGGGGGCGTAGTTAATCTTACATTCCAGAAACAGAGGACCTTTGGACCATCAAGGGAGAAGAGCACAAGTGTAATGTGAGACCTTATCCAGAGAAGCAGCAACACCAGAGATGGAAGCAGAGATGGGGACATGGAGAGAGGGAGCAGCTGAGGACTCTAGATACATAGGAAGAGAAGGACTAAGAGATGGCAGCCAGGAGGTAGACTTGCAGAATGTCCCTTTGGTGGTGTAAATTATTATACATGTCTGAGTGTTTTAAAAAGAAAAAAAGAGCTAAAATGAATAGAGAGAAATACTGTTAACTGATGGTACATGGAGGGGATTATAATCGTTGTAATGAAACAAGGTGTATGATTTGTTGAATGTAAAACTGATGATCTGCCCTGTGAACTTTCACTCAATCCACAATAAAAACCTTAAAAAACAAACAAACAAACATGATTAGTGTTTCTGGGGGGAAAGCAGCCCCTCTGCAATGAGAACACAGGAAACCAAGTGAAAAAGATATGGATGGTTGTTTTGGAAAGGATCAAAAAGTGAAGTGAGAACCTATAGGAATGGAAACGGAGCTGACTTCATTATACATTGATCTCTCTGGTTCTCTATTTTCAGTCTTGCAGATTTGTTTTACTTTAAATACTTCTGTATCTGGATTGAGTTTTGGGTGGTGTTGCCAAGTGTGTTAATCTCAGGTTGTTCTCTGCTGTTGTTGGCGCTTGGTATAAAGAATATCTTTATACTGTTTTTTGTAAAGTTGATCTTAATATTACAAATTCCTCCTTTCCCCTTCTGTCCCATCTTTAATTAATAATTTTTAGTTTCTATATACTTATTTATTTCACATAATTGAGACCATACAGTATTTGCCCTTTTTTTCTTAACTAATTTTGCTTAGTATGTTTTTAAGATTCATCCATATTGTAGTATAGAGTCCTGATGTGGTGCTGTGGGTTAATGCGCCAGACTGAAAAGCCCATTTGAACTGAAAAGTCGGCAGTGCAAGCTCACCAGCTGCTCCTTGGAAACCCTACACAGGGTTGCTATGGGTCGGAATCAACTTGATGCCACTTAACAACAACAACATATTGTAGCATGCATTAGAACTTCATTTCTGTTTTTAGCTATACAATATTCCATGGTATTTACATGCCACATTAAAAGTTTTTTTCACCTGTTGTTAGACATTTTGGTTGTTTCCACCTTTTGGCTATTTTGAAAAATGTTGCCGTGAGCGATGGCATGCAGACCTCTGTTTGGGTCCCTGTCTTCACTTCTGTATATACAAAGGTACTTCACAAAGTTCATGGAAGGGCTTCTGGCAGGATGGCGGACTAGGCAGATGCATTACAAAGAACCCTCTACAAAAAAGATACAAGAAACTAAATGAAACAGACCCAGATGAAAATCCTAGAACCCTGAGCTTCAGAAGAAAGGTTAGAGAGGTGTATTGAGTGCTTGCTGAGAGGAGAAGCTAGACAGGTACAGTGAGAGAGAGACAGCCTGACATGAGGTGGCCATCTTGAACTTCTCTGAGCAGCTTTGGCAACAGAAGGTGGCCTGGTAGAGCAGAGTCACACAGGCAACAGGAAAGGTGTGATTCCTTCTTTTACCCCATGCTCCCCTGGTGACCAGAGGTGTGGCAATCCGCCACCCTCATCTACTCCCAGTACAAACTCTGCGTTCCAGGAGTTCAGACCCTGCTCTCCATGTGGTTGAGAATCATGCCAGTATGAGGTGGGGGCCATGCTTTTGTGCTTGGATCCACGGGGGCTCAGCTCCAGACCTACAGAACGCACAGAACCACCAGACCAACATTTTACCAGTCACCCTGCCTCCAGCTGCCCTGTGGTCCCAACAGACACTGAAATCACCTCTCTAAAGAGTCTCCATGAACTAATTCTGGATTGAGTGCCCTTAACAAAGGCTAATGGGAACTCCATCTACGGCCAGGAACTCCACTGTCATATCCCCTCCACACCCACCTTGTGAGTTCCTTAACTGGCAGGACCACTCCCCCCACCCCCCTCCCCTGAGTTTCTCCTCTCTGAGCCCAACAGCTGCACCATTGGTTTTTTTAGGGGGGTGTTGTTTTTGTTTATTTATTCTTTCTCCTCCTTCTTCTCTTTCCATTCCCTTGAATTTTATCCTTTCACTCTGCTATTGCTTTCTTTCTTTTCTTCTCTTTCTCATATCCCCTCTTCTTCCCCCCTTTTGATCTTTCTTACTACTCTCTCTCTTCATCTTCCCTCTCCCTAGTTCTTCTAAGTGTTTTGTTTTATTTCTTACTTTTATTTTCATTCTTATTTTTCTTTTCTATAGCTCAATTTTCCTATCCCTCTTCACAATTGTACTCTCTGCAACTTCACGCAAGAGCCAATACCAGCTCCAATACCATCTGATCAATGAAAAGCAGAAGCCAACACCAGTCCAACCTACCAGAAACTGAGGTGCATAAACTAAGAACAGAGAATGGTACACGTACTTCTATTCTCTAATTATACTCACAGGAGACAGTTGGTGAGAGCCTAAGAACACATCAACATACAATTATCAATTAAATACAAATATGAAAACTCCACAATGTCCCAAAGATGACCATTTTAGCTCACACAAAGAAACGAGAGAATGGTACAAACAAATGACCAACACAGAGAGCCAGGAAACATTTCTGAGGAAGAAAAGGTAATGGGACTAACTGAAAGAGAATTCAAGAGAATGATAATTTGGTACCTTCTGTGGATTGACAGAAAGATCAATGAAAGCAATGAGAACACAGAAAAAAACTTTAGAAGAATTCAGGAAAACATTACAAAAGCAAATAGATAAGCCCCATCCAGGACCTTCTGAGGTGGGACATTCCCACTAGAAAGAACAAGCAG